GGGAGGGAAGGGAGAAGGAGGGGGGAGAGGGAGAGGGAGGAGGAGAGGGAGAGGGAGAGGGACAGGGAGAGGTGTAGGTGTTCTCCTGGGAGGGTGAGCCACCATCTCACTATTATTGATGGACATTTAGGTTGTTTCCATTTTATTTAGAATTATAAACAGTACTTCTTTATGAGTAAAATCTTTTGCACATTCTTAATTATTTCCTTAAGGTAAATTCCTGGGAGTGGCCTGGCTAGGTCAGAGGGCACAGGTATTACTGGCTTCCCTGTGGCCCCAGTGTGTCCTCTGGTGTGGGAGTCAGTGCTGGGTCCCCTGCCTGGGGCACTGGGTGTTCAGGCCAGTGGGCTGTCTATTCAGGTTGCAACCTCTAGGCTCCCCCAGCCCCTTCTCCACAGCTATCCACCCCTATCCCTAGGCTTTGGGCGGGCACTAATCATACTCTGTTTTATTTTCCAATAGCGTTGTGTGGTGCTGCGTTTTCTGAAGTTTCCTCCCAACAGGAAGAAGGTAAGATCAGTGGGGTTTGCCACGGAGTCATTGAAACAATTACCTAAGAAAGCTTTGATTTTATTTCTGATTTAGAAGTATTAATGCTAATTGTAGAAATTTTAGTATGACCTAAGCATTCAATGCAAAAAGTGGTGTGTTTCTGATTTCCTGCAGGACCCAGTGCTTTGACTTGGTGGGGTCACCGTGGGTCGCTGTGGGGAGTCCCTGAGTGCTGAGCTAGGAGTTACCCTGTTCAGTTCAGAGAGCCCTGCTGGTTGGCCAGGACCCCCCAGGGCCAGGTCTCTGCTTTGCCATGGTGATTTTCAAACGCTCTGCTGCCTGCGTTTCCCCATCTGTGGAATTGTATCTGTGACGATGAAATCTGTGATGCTGTCAGGTAGACAGCGTTACAAGTCACAACAGGCAGTTCCAATGGAGCACTGGTTTCTATTTGCTGAGTCATCCAAGAAACTACTGTGGACAGGCTGAGAAAGTTGTTGCTGTTGTGTAGCACACCACAGAACACTGAGTTGTAGAGTCTGTCTTCCTGGAGGTGGGGTGTTGCTGTAGTATTTATCTAACTCTCAGTGGTCGCAGGGGTCAAGAAGGAGAGCCCTGTGGAGCCTTTCCTCTTTCGTGGCACAGGAGCTGGTGTGAGCCCTGCTCCAAAGCACAGGTTCCTTTCTTAAAAGGGGAGCAAAGGCAGGAGCTGTGGGGGCACAGCCCTCGCAGTGGCAATGGGGCAGGAGTGGAAATTGAGCAGGACATCAGGGTATAGGAGAGATGCATCACTGCTTCATTTGAGTTATGGAGCGACAGCCAGAAAGGGAGAGGTGACTGCTGATGGGTGCTGGTGGCCGCCACTGGTGGAAATGAAGGGCACACTCAGGTCAGCTACATAGAAAGAGAAGGGGTGTGTGGGGCTGCTGTGAGATCTGGGGGTGGTCTGGTCGGAGCAGAGAAGGAAGGCATAGGACCAGGGCGGGAAGGCACAGGCGGAGGGCCAGCCCTCCTCAGCTGCCCAAGAACCTCCAGAGTGCTGTGTTTCTGTGGAATCCAAGTGGAGACTAGAACCCTCTGGGAGGCTGCCTCCAGCCCCTTCCTTCACTCAGTATCTGCAGAGCCCAGACTCATGCCTCTGTCAGCTTTTCCTGTTTCCATTTATTGAGGCATTGTCTTCCAAGGCAACAAACAATTTACCTTTATTTATTATGTAAGTAGATGGTGTGATACCAGCTGCGTTACCAGTGGGGAATCCTGTGGTAATTCTGTCAACAAGTAGAGGTTTTTGTCAGAAGCTCTGTGGCCACAGCACTGTGGAGCCACTGGGTGTGTTCTGGGCTTTTCTGTTGGACTTCATTTTCACGCAGTCACACTGCACTAGCCCAGGACGCAGATGTTACAGGTGCAGGTGGCAGCTCAGTCCAGGACCTTCCTAGAGCTCAAGCTGTGTGTCAGGCCCCTACCTGGCCCCTTGATAAGGTGGCTCTCTCGCCCCTTAGAGAGACCTGTGATGTACCCTTTAGAGTTCTCACCTCAGGTCAGAGGGAGGGACACAGGGCTGATTTCCTGTCTCACTTAAATCTCATAGCTTATTGTTTTCTTAAGAACATCTGACTTGGGAGAAAATATTTTATTTTAGAGGCTGAAGAATAAAATGTAAATACTTAGTGATTTTTGGACAAGAGAGATTTTCAAAGTCCAGTTCCTTGGAAGGAGTGCGTGGGCTGCTGGTGGAATCCACAGGTGTTCCTGACACAGGTGCGGGTCACATGGGGCCCTGGGTAGAAGGCAGAGGTGGGCCTGGGAGACCGAGGGGCCAGAAGCTCCAGTGGGTCTGGCAGTCTCTGTGGTGAGGCTCACCTTCCTCCAAGTCCAGGGCCACTGTCTTCTGTGTGTAACAGGCTCCTGGTGGTGTCAGAGTCCACTCCCTCCCTCCTCGAGGTCCTGGACATTACGGCCTTCCTGTGTTTCTTTTTTACAGACCTCGGAAGAAATATTCCAGCACCTACAGAACATAGTGGACTTTGGCAAAAATGTCATGAAAGAGTTTTTGGGGGAGAACTATGTTCATTGTGGGGTAAGTGGTTTTTATTTATGGAGTCTAAATTCATGGGCAATATCTGTATCAATATCACCAGCTTCTCAATTGCAGTTTGGAACTTTGTGCTTAATGATAGCTCCTCATGCTAATTATAGAGTTTCCAAGCATTTTGTTTTTCTTATTTGCTGTGTTCTGAGGTAGCAGAGCAGGTGTTATTATTGCCATTTTCTAGCTAACCATGTGAGACCTCTGTTTGCCGGGATACCAGTCCCCTCTACCCTGCTTTCGTGGAGACATGCGGTGTGGCAAGGGCTCTGGAGTGAGTCCAGAGAGCCCGAGTCCTGTGCCTGTGGCTGCTCTGCACTAACTGAGAGGAGTGCCTGTTACAGGCATGAGGCTGCAGTTTGGACACTTGGGGAGGGGACAGCGTAGGAAGCCACAGTGGCTTTGGTCCACACCTGAGACAGCTGTCTTGGCATCTGCTGGCCTTGCTGCTTGTTTTAGATCAGAGCCCTGAACAGACTAGCAGGTTTGTCACTTTGAACACAGAGAGCACAGCTTCTCTTTTGCAAATACTGTACCTTGTATCTGTCCTGAGAAAAATGATACTAAGGGGGTTGAGGGAACATTTCTTTGAAGCTTAAGGATTGCCTGGCAAAGTAGGTTTTAAATGGCTCTGACAGCAAATCCTCCAAGAAGGTCCTTTGACAAGCTTAGGATGTATGGTGGGGGGTGCTGCTAGTCGTCCCTCAGGGCTGCAGCCTCATCTGAAAGCATCAGACCTTTTCTCAGGGTGGCCCAGCCATGGTGCTGGCAGGGTGGTGCCAGTTTTTGGCTGGGGGGGGGTCTCAGCACCTCCCAACATGGACTCACTTAAGGGCTCTGAGTATCCTTGAGATACTCCCCCACTACTTGATCTGGGAGATGACCTGGCCCAAAGTTGTGTCTGTCATTTCCACAGCATCCTGGTGGCTTTGCAGGTCAGCCTGAGGCAGCGTGGAAGGGACTGCACAGGACTGCATGGTGTCAGAGTGAAGGCCGTGTGCTGCCAGCTCCCTCCTTGAGAGAGTGTGCTTGTCTGGCCAAGTGAGAGCATTTCTCTGTATCACAGCACTGGGGGCTCTAGGCCTTTCCCCTGGTAGGGTCACAGTGAGGAAGGGCCGTGGGAGCTGGGGCCAGCCGAGGATGGTCTGGTGAGTGGGAATAATGTCAGAGTGTCCCCAGGCCCAGGGCACACATGCTCCGCCCATCCACAGTGGATGGGGCTCTGGGCGTGTGAGGTGAGTCCACAAGGCTGCATTCTGGGAATGAGCTCCCATTGACACCCCTCCTCTGCATGACACAGCACTAGAGTGAACAGCTTTCCTCCGAGCGGACCTAATGTCCCCAGGGACTGCTGCTCAGGCCTGGCACGGTTGGAATGTGGCATACAGTGCACATCTCTGATCCGCACAAGACCACATACAGGCAAAACCAGCATGTATAAATGCCACTGTTTTCCTTGACCACTGACGTGAAGTAGGTCACAGTGCAGTCCTGGTGAGCATTCCCTTCTCTGTATCCTGGGACAAGATACAACCAGCCTAGTGTGAGAGCAGAGGCCCAGACAGAGCCACAGACACACCCTGCGCTGTGTATGCCTCTGCCTCTGGGCCTGCCCATCTGGTTTGAGGACTGGTCTGGGCCAGTCTTCATGTGATCTGGAGGTTAGGAAATGGGGAAGAGGCTGTTCCCTCTATGCCTAGAGGTGTTTGTATCTTAAATACCACAGGTAGTTGAGACACTGATGGGATTTTAGAAGTTTTGCCTCACTTTTGTGGATCTAGTTCTCCCAAGGTTGGATTCCCTTGAGTGGCCTCAACTTTACATTGTAATTTGACAGGATGGAAGCATTGGCCAGGCCACCACCCATGATGAGCGAGGGGATGCTGCTCTCTTGAGGGAGCTGCTAGAGGACTGTAGACATGCTCTCACCTGCCGGGCCCTCTGTCCTCTGCAGCCTTCCCTTTATCCCTTTGAGGGCATATGCCTGTCAGCAGGGAAGCTGGTGTTGCCACGCCTCCCAGCGATTCTTCCCCTGAGAGGATTCTGTGCGCTTAACTATAGTTTTCCCTAAGTTAATACTTTGTGTCAGTCCTGACCAAGTGCCCTGCTGTTGACCACCATCCCCCAGGGTTCTGTAGGCGCTATCTGCCCATCGGGCTGGATGGCGTGGTTCACATGGGTCTTGAGTCTGAAGCAAGGGTTGGTAAATGTAGCCAAGTGTTGGGAAGGGTGCCTACCATAAACATTTTATTCTGACTTAAAACACAGATAGAACTCATTACAAATCAGGAATTTAAAGTTGCTTAAAAACAAATTCTTTTTCCCTTGGTGACTGTGGGGCGGGTCACAGATGCTGTGTCAAGAGCAGTTGGGCCACTTCTGGCTTTGGACTTGACGCTCTCCACCCCTCCATGTTTCTGTTATTGATGGTCCAGCAGGCACCATGACTTCCTTTCCCAGCTTAGGAGGTGGGGGGCATCAGGGCCCCTGCTGTGTGTAGACCGAGCTGTGTGGGTTGCCCTGACCTCCCAGCCTTGCCCCAGGGCTGTGCAAGGCCAGGGTGTTTCTTTGAGAAAGGATCTCAATGCAGTTCTTTATCTTTCCTGCACAGCTCCCTCATCTGCCATCTGCTCGCTTTGAACCTTTGGTTTGTTTAAAGTGGAGTGAGAACTTGGACTTTTGTCACCTACGTTTTGAATTTTCAAATTTTTCTAGTTTTCACTCTTTTCCATTGCTTCAACTTACCTAATTCAGAACTAAATCTTTAGCAACTCACCCTTTATCAGTTTACAGCATGTGTAGGTAAATGACAAAATTATGAGGTAAGCTAGCACAGCAGTCTGGGTCGTGAACGAGGGGCTGGGCCAGGGCCAACGGCAGAAGCATGTCTGTGCTACAGGATTGCCACAGTCCTGGTCCCTGGGACAGGGTGGTCCCAGGCTGTGCTGACACACAGGCGGGACAGGGCAGGGCAGGGCAGAGAAGGCCTGGTGGGCCAGCAGCTAGGGTCTCAGCATTCACATTCTAGGTCAGTCTCTTGTGCCCTGTTGGGACTTCATTAGAAGTCAGATTTCTGCCACCTTGGAGACACAGTGAATGTGGCGAGCATCCTGGATTAAAAGCTCTGCCTCAGGAAGTAGCAAAGAAACAGCAAAGTGGAGAAGAGTTGCTTTGTTTTTCTTCCAAATGCACAGCATATGGACTCAGGGCCCCCTGAGTCCCGTGGCTGAAAGACACACAGGACATCTCACCCGGAGATTAATATTCGGTCGGACCCTTTTCCTTGAGCTGTTTCTCAGGCGGGAGCGTGAGAAGCCTTGGGTTGTCTTGGAGACAGCTTTGAGGAGCCTTGTGCCGGCAGAGAGCCGCCTCAGGCCTGCTTTGCCCCACAGGCCCCATGAGGAGAGAGGAGGTCTCAGTGAGGACAGCGGAGGTGCTTTGTGGACACTGACTGTGGGTGACATGGGGCTCGCTGCTGGTCACCCCACCATGAACCCAGCTGCTCTGAGGGGCTGTTGTGCTCAATGCATGAGAGACAGTAGTGTCTCTGTTTAATCTGGACATGTCCTTAAAGTGAAAGAGCATCTTATTCCTGAGGCCCACATACTGATGGCTTTTTTAATGTGCTAAAATATACATAACATAATTTTACCGTTTTCACCACCTCTAAGCGTGCAGTTCTGTGGCATTAAGTACGTTCACACTGTTGTGCAGCCCACACTGAGTGTTCCATATTTGTCGTTACAGGAGGTGGTTCAGCTGCCTTTAGATTTTGTGAAACAGCTTTGCTTAAAGATACAATCTGAAAGACCAGGTAAGGGTTCCTAACTTACAAATTTCCTTTGTAATTTAAGATACCCCATTTGAAAACTGTGTGACATTATTACTCATGTTAGGTAGCTGCAGCTTTCAGCAGTTCTTTTGCCAGAAACTTGTTCCGGGGGTAGACATCCCAGGAGCTCAGGAGGGCAATTCTGGGCATCATACACCCAGGCCACTGCAGAGAATGTATGACCAGGAACTGATTAATACAAATAAACACGCATTTGGAAGCGAGGGGAAGCTGAAGGAGTTAGGGGAGACTCAGGGAAGGGAAGGTGGGCTATAGGGAAGCCTGGAGGAGTCATAAGGAAAACCAGGTAGACCCAAACCACAGGCAATGGGCCAGGCCCTCGAGGGTCTGCAGCCTGAGAACCTTCTCCCAGAGCTGGAACCCACCAGCCTGCTTATCCTCCTGGGGGAGACAGGAGACATGAATTCTGTAGGCAGTCCCTGCTCCCATCATTTCATGTACCTTCCCCATTACCTCATGTACCTTCCTTAAACTTGGTCATGGCTTAATGACAGAAACCATGTCAAAGCCTTTCCTTTCACAGTCAGAGACAAAGGTATAAAGTCCATGTTAGAGGTGGACATGCCTCCACCAAAGCACAGCCAGGCAGCCAGAGTGTGCAGTTGGCCAGTGGAAAATTCTTTCCTATTTGATTAGGAAAATGAATGCTAGTAGGGCACCATGCCTTGGAGCCTCTGGTTTGGGGGGCATTGAGGAGTGGAGCTCTGTGTATGCAGAAATGGCTGAGGGAGGGGAAAGACTGTGTCTTGGCTCTGTTTGCATCATCTAGGCTAAGACAGACTGAGACTTGCTCTAGGGTTCTGCCGTCCAGCTGCAACTGCTCAGTATCATTATTTTATTGTATAATTAGAAATTAAATTTATACTACTTAACAGTACTAAGAACTGTCCCACGTTGTGATAATGACTTGTGATCAGCCTTGTTATGTGAAAGGAGGAAAGCCAGCTTCACCTGGGGCCTGGAGGCCACATGTGTCCTCTGCAACTCCATGATACAGCTTCTATAGTCACTGCTGAGGAGTGGTGTGTGAGTGTTCTGAAGCAGCCAGCAAGAGGGAGGTAGAGGCTGCTGCCTCCTTCCTCTCTGAGTTCCTGGGTTAAGGGACTCACAAGATTGGGGGGCAGTCCCCAAGATCACCCTCACTTCTGATGACAACTGAATGTTTGGAGGTCCTCAAGACCAACCTCAGGATCTGATAATTTGCTAGAAGGACCTATAGAACTTACAGTTATCCTCATGGTTATCGCTTATCACAGCTCAGGGACACAGTTAAGACCAGGGGATTGAAGAGGCACTGGGGGCAGGTCCAGGGAAACGGCACAAGCTTCCAGGTGTTCTTTCCCCCGGAGTCATGCGGGTTGTGCTTACTTCTTCCAGCCGCAGTGTGTGACTGCATGGAGGAATGCCAAGTACGGAGGCTGCCGAGCCTTGGTGTGAGGGTGTTTTGGGGATTGGGCATGTAGACACAGCTGACTAGCTGCCCTCAGTCTCCAGCCTTCCGGAGGTCAAACTGATACTGTGAGACCCAAACCTCCACCACAAATCACAGTGTTACACTCGTGACTCAAAGGCCCCAGGACATTCCTCAGGCAGGATGTACCAAGGCTTAGAGGTAACCTCCCAGGAGCTGGAGGCCCAAGGCCAGCCTTTCTTAGGCAAGGCTGACCTTTCCTCACCAGGAATTTGCCAAGTCATCGTGGGATCATCTTATATCTCTTGCATTGATTATCAGGTATTTTCCTCGCTCTGTTTTCTAGAATCTCGCTGTGACAAGGACCTGGACACTCTCAGTGGCTACGCTCTGTGCCTTCCCAATTTAGCCAGACTTCAGACCTACCATTTTGCTGAGCACCGGCCGATTCTGTGTGTAGAGATCAAGGTGAAGTTTTGTAAAAGGGAAAGTGGTATGGGGAGAAGGGAAAGATGGGTTCAAGTCATAAATCTGTGGTGCCTGCCTGGAGCACACTTTCCCACAGAAGCTCCTCCTGTACCCCACACTGGGCCCCACAGCAGCTCCTGGAGATGCAGCATGCCACCTGCACTGGTTTCTCCCACGAGCCAGACCTGAGGGACAAGGCTCCTCAGGCCCTCAGGTTTATGCCCGTTCCAGGCGCTGCGATGGGGAGCCGATGGCCACCAGAAGGCAGTGCTTTGGGTTCCATCCTCCCCGTTTTCTTTGGAGGGTGCAGCTCACCAGGCCCCCCGACCTTCTCTGCCAGGCCTCATTTGCCACGTAGTGACACTACATGCTGTGTTCCAGGAGGTTGGCTTGAGGGTTGCCCTTTAGACGTGGGGGCACTCTGTTCCTTTGCTTCTGTCCTGCTCAGGGGAGACCTCCTCAGAGGCACAGAAACATGTGACTCTCAAGGCCCTGGTTTGTCTTGGCTGGGGGGGAACAAGGGGTGTCACTCATCTACTAGAGGAAGTGATTGCTGGATAAGGGCCAGGCCCTCGGCTTCAGCTGTGCTACCCCACATCCATGGTGGCTGCCGGAGTCTTCTTCAGGAAGATTCCCAGATGTCCCAGGCCATTGTTTGTCTCATTCTTCCAAACCTCATAGTGATTTCCGGGTCACACCCTGTCCCTGAGCACTCAACAACCCGTGTGCTCAGTGGGGACTAATGTTCTTCCCCAGCTGAGGGTGAGCAGCCTTAGGCATCACAAATGATGGTGGCGTGCTCCTCAGTGCCATAGTGCTAAATACAATCTCTTATGTGTTGTGTAACCGTGGATTTTAAAAGGCACCTGGGGTTCCAGATGTTCTGGGAGCCTAGCAGCCATCGGATGGGCACCTTCCCATTCATGAATTCTTGTCAGAGGGAATGAGGGTTCTGCTGCTTGGAGCTGGGGCTGCAGGGCAAGTCTGCACTCTCAGAGTCTTTCCAGTCTCACTCTCTTGAAAACACAAAGCGATTCTGTGTTGTACTTTTTCAGTCCCCCAACTGAGGAACCGGCGTTTTTCCCAGTGACAGTTCTGACTCTGTAGCAGCAAGAAATGTTTATACGCTGTGACGAGGGAGGCATCAGTTCTGTGGGGGCTGGAGAGAAGAGCAGCTTTGGGGATGTCTCTAACGCTGCTGCTCCTGAGTGTTGCCTTGTAGTAGTTATGTGTCTATGTAAAGGTATGTGATTTCTCCCTAAGAAGTTTTTCTTCCTCATTTATTTTGCAGCCAAAATGTGGGTTTATTCCTTTCTCCAGTGAGGTTACACATGAGATGAAGCATAAGGTGTGCCGTTACTGCATGCACCAGCACCTCAAGGTGAGGAGAGCTGACCAGCTGGGTCAGAGTCACATGGAGGGTGGTTGGGCCTGAGGTGTGACCTCCTAGAATTTTCAGAAGAGTAAAAGAAAATGTAGATATTTATTATTTAATTTTTAGTTCACAGGTACTTCATACTCACCGTTTGGTGTTTGTTTTAAATTGAATCTGGGTTGCTTCTACCTTTTGGCTGTTGTCAATAGTGTTGCTATGAATATGAGAGTACAGATATATCTTTGAGACCCTGCGTTCAATTTTTTGAGTATATACCCAGAAGTAGAATTGCTAGATCATGTGGTGATTCTCTTTTTAATTATGAGGAGCCACCATTCTGTTTTCCACAGCAGCTTTCCCAGTTTTCATTCCACCATAGTACATAAGAGTTCCAGCTTCCCCACATCCTCACCAAGACTTGTTATTTTCTGTTTTTGATAGTAGCCATACTAATGAATGTGTGGTGAGAAATGCAGTTGGTTTTTGCATATTGATTTTTTTTAAAGAAAAGAGGCTTATTTCTTAGGTAATAATAGGCTTTTGTGTCAAAAGTGGCATCCACTGCCTGTTTATTATGTGCTCCCACCCTCATCCTAGGTAGTGTAGGATACTTTCATAGCTGGGGCATTTCCCCTCTTAAGATGGTTCTAGCTAGTAACAGATGTGATATGGGGTTTTTTTGTGTGTTTTTTGTTTGTTTTGTTTTTAAATATGTCTTTATTGATTTCAGAGAGAGGAAGGGAGAGAGAGATAGAAACATCAATGATGAGAGAGTCGTTGATCAGCTGCCTCCTGCACGCCCCCTACTGGGGAGTCGAATCATGATCTCCTGGATCATAGGTCCATGCTCAACCGTTGAGCCCCAGCTAGGCAGAGGTGATGTTAACGGCTCCTCTTAGACTGTAGCCAGCTGCCGAAGTTCTGATGGAGGGCAGGGAATGGAGTGAGGCTGGGTCTCAGGGGCATCATCTGAAAAAATGGAGATAGAACGCCAACTCTAGTAACCCTTCTGTGTGGCCAGCTTCTGACTCAGCTGTTCTGAAGCATTTCTTCTGTTCCCTTCTATTGGAGCAATTACTGGTCCAACTCCCCAAAAGCCAAGGCAGGGGCTGGACTTTCTTCTATTTGGCTTATTTACACTTAAGACCCAGCCAATCAGAAAAAAATGCCGTCTTGATCATCACTGGCCTGACAACCTTATCTTGTATATTTTTTAGTGTTCAGTGGAAAAATAGAAACAAGTCTAGGTATTCGAAGCAGAAAAGTTTCCTATAGGAAATTAAGTGTTTATAGACTCATTGGGAAGCTGGAGGAGTGAGCCGTAGGTTCCCCAGGAATCAGAACATCGGAGAGCTGACCCACCGGGGGCGCTGCAGCCTTTGCTGCCTCAGGAAGTGATGGAGAGCAGGACAGAGGCAGTGAGTTCCAGGACACCCTGTGCAGTGCGGTCAGGGAGCCTCTGGGGAACCACAGAACTCAAGACTGGACCCTGGGCACCTGAAGACAGAAGCTCCACGCAAAATGAGTGCTACTGAGTTCTGCATATTGATCTTTTATCCTGTCACCCTTGACGAACTTGCTTATTTGCTCTAATTTTTTTTTATGGTTTCTTAGGATTTTCTTTAACATGGTCAGATCACTTGCAAATACAGATAGTTCTAGCTCTTTCTTTCCCACCTGGATGCCTTTTGTTGTTTTCCTTCCCTGACTGCCCTGGCTAGAACTTGCAGTGCAGTGTTGTACAGAAGCAGCAAGAGCGGACATCCTTCTCTTGTTCCTGACCTTAGGGCGAAGCTTTCATTTCCTCACCCTTGAGTGTAGTGCTCACTGTGAGTTTGGTATGGATGTTCTTTTTGAGTGTTGTTGGTTTTTTTAATCATGAAAGGATGTTGAATTTTGTCAAGTAACTTGTCCTATATTGAAATGATCATGAGGTATTTTCTCCTCTCTGTTAACACGGTGAATTACATTGCTTGTCATATGTTGAACCACTGTTGTATGTCTGATAAATCCCACTTGATTATAGGTGGATAATCCCTTTAATATACTGCTGAATTGACTGGTCAGTTTTTATTAAGGACTCTTTCCTAAGGAATATGGTTTTTATTTTCTCTAGTCATGTTTTTGTCTGGTTGGTGCCAGGGTAGTGGCTGGTGTCACAGAGTGAGAAAGGACGCATTTCCTTCTCCCCATGCCTCGGGTTTGGAAGAGTTTGAGTTTTGGGGTTTATTCTTTAAACATTAAGTGGAACTCACTAGTGAAGCCGTCTGGTTCTGAGGTTCCTTTGCTGGTAGGCTTGGATGACTGATTCAGTCTCTCATTACTGGTCCAGGTGTTCCTCTCTGGGATTTTATCTTCTCCCTACTCAGATCTGTTGTTAACTCCTCTAGTGACTTTTTCATTTTTGTACTTTTGAACTACAGAATTTGTTTGATTCCTTTTTATAAATTCTGTTTCTGTTGATATTCTCTGTTTGTTGAGACAGTGTTTCCCTTGTTTCCTTGGTTTCCTTTACCTCTAAGCATGTTTAAAGTAGTTGATTTAAAGTCTTTGTATAAGTAAGTCCAATGTCTGAGCTCCCTCAGGACAGCCCATTGATCGCTTTTTTCCCTGAAAGTATGGCTCATACTTTGTTGTTTCTTTGCATATCTTGTAATGATTTGCTGACAATGGGCATTTTAAGTATTATAATGTAGCCACTTTGGAAATCAGATCCTACAACCTCTCTAGGATTTCTAATTGCTGCTTGTTGTAATTGTTGTTGTTTCTTTAGTGACTTTTCTATGCTAATTTTGAGAAGTCTGTGTTTTTGTTGTGTGTAGCTTTGAAGTCTGCTCAATTGGCTTAGTGGGCAGGTAATGGTTTGAAGAGATTTTTTTTAAATGCCTGAAACCAGTAAGATTCTCAACCTTTGCCAAGAGGTTCTGTGTGTGTGCTGAGGCCTGCCTTCAACCCTCAGCAGGAGAGTTACAACTCTGCCTTAGCCTTCACTGTCACAAAGCCTCAGATCCGCAGAAGGTGAGTGCCTTTCCAGGCCTCTCCAGAGCCTATGCATGGCCTTCTAGATGCCCAAGATATGCTGGAGTTTTTCAAAGCCTCAACTTTTTCTTTTTAGCTTTAGGTTTAGCCTATTGTTTGCCACAGCTGTTATCCACTATCGCAGGCAGCTATTAAGTTGGAACAGTTGCCTCTGAATCGTTTTTATAAATGCCCCTGGGAAACAATGCCCCTTTTGTACCTGGTAAGGTCTAAGACAGTTCAGTGAACACAGGAAGCCAAGAGATTGGTCACATAATGCACATTCTCTGGGAATGAGGCTTTGGAGTAGCTCCTGCCCTGTTCCGCCCCTCTCTTGGCTGCCAGGCTTCTGTTTTCAACATGATTGGGGCTGGTCATTTTCAGGGTTCCCTTGGAACTATAAATGGGATAGGAATAGGACATTAAAGTGCCACAAAGCTCACAGTTCTTACTTAGATTTAGCTGTTTGTCTTGAATAAATGCTCCCCAGATTGTTGCAGGACTTTGGTTAATTTTCAGAGTTACGAAAATTTCAATTGATTCTGGTAGTTTTTGCCAGTTTTCTCATTGCCCATATGGGGGAGAGAATTTCCAGAGGTTCTGACTTCACTGTTTCTGCTGACTCAGTCCCTGCTCATTTAACTGATAAAATATGGAATTTTATGAATTTGATTACCTGCCTTCCCAGAGGTAACTCACGTTGTCAGTTTGTACATCCTTCCGGACTTCTTCCTGTGCCAACAAAAATAAACATGTTGTCCAGTGGAAACAAGGTGATGCCGCGTGCACACATTCTGATGTGTGTTCACATATGCATGTGTACACATTTCTAAAACAAATAGAGGGCCTTGCTTTATGTATTTGTTTTGCTCATTGCTTTTCTCTTACACAACCCTTGAGGATTGTGTGCTGTGTACTTTCAGGGCCTTCCTCTGCATATTTGGGTACGAGCATGTGATACCTGTCCTTTTCTTCTTTAGCAAAAGCGGTGTCATAGGGTGTGTTCTACAAGTGGCTTTTTGACTTGAATAAATCTTGGTGATTTTTAGCCCTACCTTTTTCCAGAGTGGCTGCATATCATTTAATCATTCCGTCTCTGAACATGTGTCCTGCTGTGTCCTGGCCCATGAGAGCACATGTGCTATGGTTTTACTTAGTTGTTTCTAGGTCTTGCTATTACAGTTAGGCAGCAGTGAACATCTGTGACCCTATGATTCCTTGTAGATTTGCCAAGTCAGAGACACACACCTTTTAAATTTTGATGGAAACCAGCAAGTTGCCTTTCAAAAGGTTGTGCCAATTTTTCTTCTCATCAAGAACATGAAATTATTTATTGGCCACACTCTCTCCTTCCTGGATATTATAATTTTAAAGATTTGTTTATCTCATTACTGGAGTTTAGCCATGCCATTTAAAAGAGATGCTTGCTACTGCTTCCCTGCTCATGTAGAGGGCTGGGCAGCAGCCACATGAGACTATCAGAGGAGGCCAAGCTCCCCACCCCAGCTAGTGAGTGATGTGTTCCCCAAGGTGGTGACATCTGGGACCTTCATCATCTTAGACACTTTGGCTTTGTGTTAAAGTTACCCCAGTGCTGATCCCAGTCCAATCATTGGCACATGTGGTGGTTTCTTGACAGGTGGCAACTGGGAAGTGGAAGCAGATAAGTAAATACTGTCCCCTCGATCTCTACTCAGGGTAAGAGAACACATCTACTTTGTCCCTATGCCATCTTCCCTGGAGGTGGGGGGGTTGGGGATGTTCTGTGAGGTGGGGTTAGTGGGCGATGATGTGTGAGGTGGGGTTAGTGGGGATGATGTCTGAGAGGGGGAGATACGGGTGGGGTGGGACCGGCATCCTGTGAGGTTGGAGTACTGGCCTGTGTGTATCCAGGGCCCTGGGCAGGGCTCAGGTTTTTGCCGAGGGTCAGGGTGGCCTCTGTAGATTCCCAAGTTTCTTGTGGGAGCCAGCAGCTGGGATGATGTTGCCACGAGGAAAGGGAAGAGAGTAGGGGGGGTTCAGGGTGTATTGGGGGTGCCTGTGCAAGAGGCTGGGACAATGCGGCTCCTTCCCTGAGAAGCTTGGCGATGTGGCGCTCATGATCCTGGTGAGCCTGGGAACCGCATGTCCTGAGCACAGGCCAGTGACCCCATCCACTACCCCTTCCTCTTTCAGAGATAAACAGAGAATGTACTTTGCCTTGAAAAGCTTGTTACAGGAGGCACAGAACAACTTAAAGATATTTAAGGTAAGTATTCTTCTATTTTATGGCCCTTTTTGGGTGGAAGAGGCAGGTGCCTGGATTGAGCCAAGTGAATTCTTGGGGTCTGGTCCCTGGGACCTTGCAGATGAGGACGCCTGGGCCAGGTCTGCCATGGCACAGTCCTGTAGTCCTTTTTCCAAGTCCAGTTACAGGTGCACGACAGCCTATGTTTCCCTGGAGTGTGATGTTGACTCCTCGACCACTGGGTGACCTCTGGCTCCCCTGTCACACAGGCCCTGACTCCTGATCTTGGAGGGGGACAGTCCTGACATGGTCTGGCTTGTCTCACCACCTTCTGTGTGTCTCTGTGGCCTGTATGGTTGAGGTGGGAGAAGGCCCTGGGGTGGCACAACCTAGAGGGTGGCCACACCTGTGCATTTGCTCCCAGTTAACTTAGGGAGCTTGTAATTTGAGGACCTCTTTGTCAGTTAGTGAATTCTGTCCTGGCCATGCAGGGGAAGAGTTCATTCACTGTTTGGCACAGATACCTTCGGCTTTCTCCTTGCCACCTGCCACGGGGGCCCTGGTCCGGGCTCTCTAAGGCCCTGTGGTCGCCTGGCCTGGTGCTAGGAGTAGGGCATCATCCCCTTTTCTCTTTGCACTGACAGCCCCAGCCCCGGTTATGTCCTGGTTAAGTGGGACCCATGAGTGAGAGTTGCGGCACACTCCAGGCTTGCAGGAATGGGGGTGTGGAGAAGCGGAGCTGTTGGGCCTGGACAGCTGTATGCGCTGCGCCCTGCTCTGTGGACATGCTGCTCTGCACTGCATGCGGGCAGCAGGGGAGCCTGTTCTTGACCCGCTTTCCCGTCTGACTCAGAAGTCTGGTTGGAGGGAGTTGACTTGACCGCATCTTCCTCCACCTTTCCAAATCCAGAAAAGGTGGATATACCTAAAATCAGTTTATATTTTTAATTTTTATAAAGACTTCAGGAATTTTATGTTTAAATTTGAAAGATATATTTCCTTTCATCTGTGGGTTTATTTGGAACCTGTCGTAAGGCTGGCGTTTTGTCTGAAGTGGACCCTTTTCTGACTGCGCTGCCTAGGCTGGCGTGTTCAGCCCATGCTTAAGCTGAGTAGCAGGTGTGGCTCAGGCCCTCGACAGCTTGCCCTGCCCTGGCCTGGGGCCTTGGCCTGAGAACCTGACTGTCTGCTGCTTCTGTTGAAATCAGCATGGGAAACATCCAGAGATAATAGTTTCAAAAGAAATGGATTAAGAGAAGGGACAAAGCATGGCTTTTAAAAATAATACCTGGAGCCATGCAGTCCATTTTCTCGAGTGCCATCACTCTTGTGAGAAGCTGTGGGGCTGAGGCTTGCTCCAATCACCATGAAGTTCTGGATGGGGAAGGTTCATGGCCACAGTCAGTGGTGCCCTCCTACTGTCTGTCCATGGCTGTGGCTCTGTCCACCCCAGCACTGCTCACCTGTGAAACTTGGGGGAGGGACACGTGGGGTAGCCATGGAGCCTGGGTTGATGGCTCTCCTCCAAATGTCACGAGGTCCTTGAGCAACTATATTTGTAGGTGTAAAACTCTCGCTATCCAGATTTTAGACACTGGAGAGAAGAGGCCTTCAGCTTCCAGGGGTCAGTCAGCCACTCCTGGGCTGGAAAGAGGGACCAGCTTCCTGAGTCCCAGCCCTACCTCCAGTGTCAGTTCAGCACTTCCTCTCGGCCTGCTTTCCTCCTGGAATGACTGCCTTCCCTTTGCCTGCAACCCTCCTCCCACTAAAGGCCCATCTCAAGGGTCAGTGTCTCAGTGGTCCCCCCCGGTACTGTGGCTAGCAGTGGCCTTAGTTGTGTCTGCATCACCCTGGACACCCACTGAGTTCTGACGGTGTCAACAGGGGCTTCCCAAGGGAGGCATCATGCTGTTGAATCCCAGGACTTGCTGAGGGAGGAATGCCCTGTCTACACTTCAGGTTGGATCTACTCGACTCCCAGCTGCCACCTGGGGGCAGAGCAGGAATGGTCCTCGTTGATATTAGCTACTGCTCAGAGCAGCCACTTCTCATCTCGCAGTTTCTGTGGCCGGGAATTGAGGAACAGAGGCCGATTCTGGCTCAGGATCTCTTTTGAGGCTGTGTCCCATCTGAAAACTTGGCTGGGGCCAGAGTATGTGCTCCCTGGCCATGAGGGTCTCCATGGGGCTTCTCACCAGGCTGCTGTGATCTGAAAAGAAAGCCACCCAGATGGAAGCCATGGCATCTTTTATAACTTAATCTTTCTGGGGATGTGCTGTCACTCTGCCCTCATTCTGTTGGTCACATTGACCAAGCCTCTGTAGTGTGGAGAGAACTACAGGGTATGAGTGTCAAGGGATATGAGCCATTGGGGCCATCCTGGAGGCTGTTGACCACATCATCTCACAGATGAGGAAACTAGGGGCACGAGGTTTGCCACTCCCCTGGGGTTGGCTGCTGCTCAGGCATGTGGGTACCAGGGTTCTCTTAGGGGCTCTTCCACCAGACATGACAGACCCCCATAAATGTCATAGGCTTAGGCCCACTGGGTGTTCCTGTCTGCACCCTGGGAACATCGGTGCCACAAGGAGTTTCTTTGCTGGTTTTAGAAGGCAGGATGGGCTTAAAGACAAAGATTTCCACCCTGGTGGGAGCCTGGCCCAGCCTTTTGCCAAGGACAGAGCACTTTGGGAAAGTGTCTACTTATAGACATGCACACTGGCACAGCAGCTCCTCTCCTCGGGCCCCACGGACACTGTCTCCCAGGAGCGCATGCGTCCCTCAGCCTCTCGGCTGCCAGTTGCGGTGTGTTCTGCCAGGAGCGCATGCGTCCCTCAGCCTCTTGGCTGCCAGTTGCGGCTGCCAGTTGCGGTGTGTTCTGGCCTGAGGGTTTGTAGGTCAGTTCAGGACTCCAGTCTTCAGTGTTTTAGAACTTTTCCTCTTTTCTACTTTCTAGTGGGATTTGCCTCCTGATCAATGACAGGGTGCTTTCCCACAGGGCCACAGTGTGCAGGGACCCCAGGTGGGCACGCATTTGATGTTAGGTCCCTTTGCCTGCCCAGTGGGTAGAGACGAAGGTGTTTTCCTACCTGCCTGTCCTTTTTCCTTTCTGAAGAATGGGGAGCTGATTTATGGCTGCAAGGACGCGCGCAGCCCAGCAGCTGACTGGAGCGAATTGGCACATCATCTGAAACCATTCTTTTTCCCATCCAACGGCCTGGCCAGTGGGCCTCACTGCACAAGGGCCGTGATCCGGGAGCTGGTGCGTGTCATCACGCGGGTGCTGCTCAGCGGCTCGGACAAGGGCCGGGCAGGTGCCCTGAAGCTGGGGCCTGGGTCGCGAGGCCCATGTGTCTGTGAAGCCAGCCCTTTCAGCAGGAGCCTGCATCACCAAGGTAGGCTGAGTGGCTGGGCGGATGGGCAGAGCCTGGACGCAGCCTGTTGGGGTCCTGCCTGGTCTCATGGAGCTTCTGCAAGGAGCAGCCTGGGCCCCAGTAGGGCTCCCCAAAGCCACTCTCCCTGCCTCTGATCCCTAGTTGGGGAGACTCCCTTTCTCATCTTCGATCTGGGTTTGTAAATTGCAGCCCAGGTTTGCCCTGTAGGGCTTCCCTGAAACACCGCCCAGCACATCTGTGTGCCTGTGGTTCGCTGAGTGCTTCCTGCAGATCGTCCTGGTCTGTCCTCTCTAAACCTGGGGGTGGGTTTCCTCAGCCTGTTCTTACATGTGGAGAAGTGAGACACAGAAGGTGGAGTCCACAGCACAGGCCCTTCGGGCGGGGGGAGGGGGAGGCCCAGGGCAGCAGTTTGCCAATGGTGGAAACACAAGCATGCAGCGCTTCTGGCTCTGGGCGCCTCCCACTGGAGGACCTGTTCCTCACAGACTTAGCAGTAGCTGACTGTGACTTGGTGGTGTCTGGGCTTCACGTGGCTAGTTTGGATTTTTGTCCTGAGTGTTAGTGGGATCCTCATTTGCCCCTTTGCCATCTGCTAGCAGCTCCACCATGTGCTTAGGCCTGTGGCAGGAGGAGCAGACTAGGAAGACAGGAACTCTCCCATGTTCATACTAAGAGCCCTGTGGTCTCAGACCTCTGGTGGCTGTAGGGGTGTGACAGGAAGATGGCAGCCCTGCCCATGTGGCTTTTAGAAGTCGTGTGGTCACCCGGGCACTACAAACCACCACCGCCCTCGGTGTGGCCACCTGCTTCTCCAAGTGAGCTGTGGATCTGGGCTTCATGGACATGCTCACAGGTTTGGGAGTGTTAACATGGCCATTTTACATTTTGTGCCTTGTCTTTAGACTGAGAGTCACCTCTAAATGCAGATCTGGGCTGGTGTGATGGAGTTGAAGGTGCTGAGAGGGAACAGAGGCACAGAGCAAGACGTGGGTCCCTGCCCTTTGCTTTGTGCCTGGCCCTATGCTTGCCTGCAGCTCCAGCACTTTCGTGAGGCAGGGTGCAGCCTGTGCCTGCTGCCTTTGTCAGTCCTTGACAGTAAACCTCTTGTTTTCCCCTGATGTTCTTGGTAGGAAAAGGCAGCCTGGAGCACTCGGGGTTGCCGAAGGGCTGTCTTCTGTACAAAACCCTTCAGGTGCAGATGTTGGACCTGCTGGACATCGAAGGCCTGTACCCGCTGTACCGACGGGTTGAGCGATACCTGGAGGAGTTTCCTGAGCAGAGGTGGGGCTCTGTTCTGTCATGCCCCTGCCCCTTCTGGGCCTACGAGGGGCCCCTTGAGCAGCTCTGAGGGTGAGATGGAGATGAAGGGAAGGGTTGCTCTAACAGGAGGATAGCACAGGGCTCCCAGGAATATGACCCACTCCAGCCACCTTCCCTCCTTACCCTCAGGTGCCAGGCCCCCCCTAGGACTCATTGCTGTGTAAAGGAGGGGCTGGGATCCCATTAGATCAAAAAGCAAGCACATCCTGTGAATCTGACCGTCCACGGCAGGCAGTTCTGTGTCCTGAGTCTGGGTTGAGCCTGCAGGGGGCAGTGCTGCTCCACTGCCGGCAGCGTCTCTGCCTGGGCAGACTCTGCCTTAGGTTTTCCTGTGCAATCAAGTTCGTCCCCGGCCCTCCTGATAGGGTTGCTGGGGTCCACATGTGCGGTGTGTGGCGGGGGCCAGACTCCTCCTCCCCACTTTCCCTTCACTAGGTTCTCTGACCTGGCTGCCGTTTGTCATAAACAGGACATGTTCAGCCTCAGCTCCCTGGTTTCTGGTCTTACAAGTTCTTCAGGCAAAGTATAGGATTAGGAAGAGGAGGATCCCTTAGATGGTAATTAAAACCAGATGTGTAGTTAAGTTGTTAGCAGTTTAAGAAAGTTCCCTACAGCTTTGTCATCTTTTTTGTTCCTTTCCTTCAGAAAAACATTGCAAATAGATGGGCCTTATGATGAAGCATTTTACCAGAAGCTGCTCGATCTTTCCACTGAGGATGATGGGACTGTGGCTTTTGCGCTGACAAAGGTGGGCAGACCTTTCCAGAAACACACTGTGTGCTCCTTAGGCTCTTAACACTAACTTGGGGTTTTCCTGAGAAATGTTTCCCAGTACTGATGTTTCCTACTACTGATGGTTAAAGCAGAAATTGGAGATTTTTTTAAAAAGTAGCTAAAGTCTCCCCCAGATGGACTGGGCATGGTGAAGATTTGTTCAGTTGGCTCCTGTCTACCCCTCGGCCCAGCCCTCTCTGACCCAGGGCGACCTCTCTGTGCCTCCTTATGAGAAGTCTTAGAACTGGCTGGCACCAGCCATCCTCTTGTGGCTCTAACTGGGATCCAGACCCCCTCACCTGTGGCTGTGCAGGTGGCTTCCTTCCCCCAGAACTCAGGCCAGGGGGCAGTGTGGGAATATCTTTTAGGTAAGTGGCCCAGTCCTGTTCTTTCTGGTTCTATCAAATCAGGGAATTCAGAACCTCCATGAAATTGGGTAGAAAAAAATTACATCTTTTACTAAGTTGGCGTTTCCTTCCATTACAAATATGGCAATAACCTCTAGGGGGTCAGTAGGACCCCCAACTGCACCATGGGAAATCAGACCTTTCATTTCACACTGCAGTCGCTGTAGAAGTCTCACGAGAGCTTCATAGTCATCACTCTGAGGTGTGGTTATGTAGTTTTGTGTAACATTTATTTTAAAAAATTGTGGTATCTGATGTCACCTCTATCTTTTATTTTCTGCATTGAAAGATGTTATTGTGAGAGGGAGCCATAGGCCTCACTGGGCTGTCAAGGTGTTGTTGCTAGATGCTGAAATGGTCAAGGAACTCTTCTCGTGGCAGTGAGGTGACAAAGGCAAGAACAAATGGGACTGACCTCCTTCTCTTTATGTACTGGGGCCGCTGTCCTGGAGCCCTTGGCTATGTGTCCTGGCACCAATGATGTGTCTGTGGTTCCCACTTGTGAAGAGTCCTCACTGTTAACTCTCCTGAGGAGGTCCCTCTTGAAGGCCGGGCTGTCGTCAAGGCAGGGAGAGATCCAAAAGTGGGGCCTCTGCCTCAGAATAAAGCAACAGGATCTGCCCTGTGGTACTGGAACTTGGGTACATTCATTTTGGGATAAATAACAGCCTTGCTTCTTTTTTCAGGAGAGGATGTTTCCTTCCATAGGACTTGACTTCATTTTTTTATACATTTCTATATTATTCAAAATTCCTACTAAATAAGCATGGATTACTTTTGAATTTATTTCATTTTTTAAACTTCATATGTAGACATAATCTCATTGTAATAGATTCAAGCAGTCATCACACAACTATGAGAATGGCTAAGCTAAGTGCATTGGGAGAACACCGAAGCCTTGATGCAGAGAAACTGGGTTACTCAGACACTGCTGAGGGGGTGGGAAGTGGCACCAGCCCCTCAGGAGACACTATGGGAGCTTCACACAAAACTGCACGTGCAGGTAGTCTGTGACCCATCTGGGCACTTCTCAGAGAGGATGAAAACTTATGCCCACCCAAAACCTCGTGCTAGAATCTGGACACAACTGGTGACCTATGACAGGTTGCATGAACTAGCATTGCTGGGCAATGAAAAGGAATGAACTCCAGATACACACAGCACCCTGGGTGAACCTCCAGGGAATTCTGCTGACAAAAGCCAGTCAGAAAAGGTCACACCTGATTCTGTTTAGCCTGTTTAACATTTCGTGCAACACTGGTTGGGTGGTGATAAGCTCCTTTAGCCTTTTTTTTGTCTGGGAAGCTCTTTATTTCACCATTTATCCCGAATGATAGCCTTGCTGGATAGAGTAGTCTTGGTTTCAGATCCTTGTTTTGCATCACCTTGAATATTTCATGCCATTCCGTTCTGGCCTGTAGAGTTTCTGATGAGAAGTCAGCTGACAGCCTTATGGGAGCTCCTTTGTAGGTAACAGATTGCTTTTCTTTTGCTGCCTTAAATATTCTCTTTGTCTTGAATTCTTGGCATTTTAATTACGATGTGTCTGGGCGTGGGCCTCTTTGGGTTCTTGCTTGGGACTCTCTGTGCCTCCTGAACTTGTGTGACTTTTCCTTCACCAGGTTAGGGAAGTTTTCTGCCATTATATCTTCAAACAGATTCTCTAACCCTTGCTTACCTCTGACCTCTTCTGGCATTCTTATGATGTGAATATTGCCACATTTCATGTTGTCCCACAGCTCCCTTAGACTATCCTCCTGGTTTTTGTTTTTCCTACAATGTCTTCTAATTGGCCGATCCAATCCTCAGATTCCCCTAATCTGCTGTTTATTCCTTCCAATTTTTAAAAATTTCTCCCATGTTATTCTTAATTTCCTTCATAGTTTCCATATCTTTTTTCATGCTCTTGAGCCTCCTTATAATCAGTATTCTGAACTCTACGTTCGATAGATTACTTATCTCCATTTCATTTTTCTTCTTCTTCTGGAATTCTTTTGTTCTTTCATTTGGGGCTTGTTTTTTTTGTCTCCCCATTTTGGCTGCCTTTTTGGATTTGTTTCTATGCGTTAGGTAGATCTGCCAGGACTCCTAGTCTTTTGGATGGTCTCTGGTGCAGGCCAGTGTCAGACGCTGTTTGCGACTGTCCTTTAGTGAGTACCCTGTTTGAAGTTTTGCACACCCTGTAGTTCCCTCTGCTGGGGCTGGGTGTATATGGACAGGACCAAGATACGCACCAAGGTCTCCTTTTCCAAGCCCAGTCTCTGTGCAGTCTCCACTTTAGGTCCTTGGTTATGAGGGTGCTCTCCAGCTAGTCTTCAGTTGCAGTTGATTATTCTGGATGGTTTTTCTATATTTTAGTTGTGATTCCAGTTTGGTCCTGGGAGAGTGTCAGTGTAGCTTCCACTCAATCTGCCACCATCTTGGAATCCTGTGTATAGCATTCTGTAGCAGGAGTCAGCAGACTTCTTCTACGGAGGGCCAGATAGTAAATGCTTTAGACTTTGTAGGCCATCTGGACTCTGCTATTGTAGCTCAGAAGCAGCCATAGACAAACATAAATGAGCACAGCTATGTTCCAGTAAACCTTTATTTATAAAACAGGTAGTGGCTGGATTTGGCTCCCAGTCCAGAGTTTGCTGATGTCTGTTCCCTTTTGCTTGTTAGTTTATAGATTCCATTTTTTTCTTTATAAACTTTGGAAGTTACACATTGTTTTTATTATTTTAGTGGTTACTTGTCCAATTTGACCATGGATATTTAAAATCTAAAATTACTTAATAACTTAACCAACTCCCAGACTCCCAACCCTGGCCACACAAACAAACAATACTTTAATTCCAGTTTTCTCCTCCAACATACATGCAGTTATTGTCTTGTTCTTTTTTAAAATCACAATTTATGGTCTTACCTTATACAGATGTTTACTTAGATCTATCACGTTTGCCCATGTCTTTATCCAGGAGTCTTGCATCTCAGATCTTTCCTCTTTTTCCTTTTTTTCTATAACAGTTTTATTGAAGTATAACATACATACCATACACTTTACCTGCTTAAAGGTACAATTTGGTGGTGCTACTAGATTCACAGATAGGTGCAACCGTCACCATAGTCAATTTTAGAACATTTTCATCAACTCAAAAATAAATCCCCTACTCTTTAGCTCCAATGCTCTTATCTCTCTATCTCGCTCCCACCCTTAGCCCTAAGCAACCACTATCTGCTTTTTCTCTGCCTGTTCTGGGTATTGCATATAAAGGTAACATTCAATTTGTGGTCCTTTATGACTGGCTTCTTTCACTTAGCTTAATGTTTTCAAGGTTCATCTGTACTGTAGCAAATATCAATACTTTATGGCTAAATAATATTCTATTTTATGGATATATAAAATATAAATTTTGTTTGTTCATTCATCAGTTGGTGGGCGGTGGGTTGTTTCCACTTTTTGGCTACTGTGAACAATGCTGCTATAATTTGTGTACAAATTTTTGTGTGGAAATAAGTTTTTACTTTTCTAGGGTATATGCATAGGAGTGGGATTGCTGAATCAAATGGTAACTTATATTCCTACCAGCAGTGTAGGAGAGTTCCAATTTTTCCGTATCTTTGACAACACTTGTTATCTGTCCTTCTGATTTTAGGCGTCTTCTTGGGTGTGAAGTGGTATCTCATTGTGGTTTTGATTTACATTTCCCAGAAGACTAAGAACATTTTTCAAATGTATATCTTCTTTGGAGAAATCTTTTCAGATCCTTTGCCTACTTTTAAATTATATTATTTGTCTTGTTGAGTTGTAAGAATTCTGTATTTTATGGATAGTAGCACCTTATGAGATATATAATTTGCATATATTTTCTTCCATCCTGTCAGTAGCCTTTTTACTTTTTTGATAATGTCCCTTGATGCAAAAATGTTTTTAATTTCGATGAGATCCAATTTATCTATTTTTTTCTTTTTGTTGTTCATGCTTTTGGTTGTCATATCTAAGAATCCATTGCTAAATTCAAAGTCATGAATATTTTTCCCGGTTTTCTTCTAATAGTTTTATAGTTTTAGCTCTTACATTTAGTACTTTGATCCATTTTGAGTTAATTTTTGTATATGATTTGAGGTAGAGGTCCAACATCATCCTTTGCATGTGATATCCAGTTGTCCCTAATTTGTTGAAGAGATTATTTTTCCCCATGGAATGGTCTTGGCACCACTGTCTTCCATTAATCTATGTCTATATTTATGCCCATACCTTGTCTTGATTTATTATTGCTTTTTAATAAGTTTTGAAATTGGGAAGTGTAAGCTCTCCAACTTTGTTCTTCCTTTTCAAGATCATTTTGGCTATTTGGAATCCCTATAATTCCACGTGAATTTTAAAGTCAGCTTGCCAGTTTCTACAAAGAAGCCTGCTGATATTGTGATAGGGACTCTGGTGAACCTGTAGATTGCTTTGGGTAGTATGGCCATCTTTACAATAGTAAGTCTTCCAATTTTTTAACATGAGATGGGTTTCTATTTATTTAGATTTTTTTTTCTTTCAATAATCTTTTCTTTTTCTGTTGTTAATCCTCACCCA